TGACGTACGCCAGCATCCCCGTGCCTCCACTCTTATATGTAACCTTATGTTACATATAAGAGTGGAGTGTTAACTAGTGTTAACTACAGCCATTTCCATCCTCTTAGCAAAGTCCACCACCATCTGTCCTTCTAGGTTCCTTCCCTTAACACCAAACCTGCACATCACCTCATCACCTTTGTTCCCCTCACCAACGTGCCCACTGAAGTCTGCTCCAATCACCACTCTCTCCCCTCTGGGAATACTCTCCATCACCTCATCTAACTCACTCCAGAATCTCTCCTTCTCTTCTAACTCACACCCTACTTGTGGAGCATAACCACTGACTACATTCAACATTACCCCTTCAATTTCCAACTTCAAACTAATCACCCTGTCTGACACTCTTTTCACCTCTAAAACATTCCTCACGAGCTCCTCCTTCAGGATCACTCCTACTCCATTTCTCTTCCTGTCCACACCATAATAAAACGGTTTGTATCCCCCTCCAATGCTATGCGCTTTGCTACCCTTCCACCTGGTCTCCTGCACACACAATACATCTACCTTCCTTCTCTCCATCATGTCCACCAGTTCTACCTTTGGACCTATACTCCTGCCTTTCCTCTTCTCTCTCTGTCTACGAATCCTTCTACCTCCTCTCTTTCTTCGACCAACAGTAGTCCAATTTCCGCCACCACCCTGTAGGTCAACAGCACTGGTGGCGGTCTTTGTTAACTCGGGCCTCAACCGATCTGGTATGAAATTCGCACTGATGATTGGCATGTTTAAATTTGGCATGTTTTTACGCCGGATGCCTCTCCTGACGCAAACCCCTCTATTTATCCGGGCTTGGGACCGGTGCAGAAGTCACTGGCTTGCAACCCCTGTGGCTAGATTAAAAAAAAAAAAAAAATCAAATACAGTGCCTATAAAAAGTATCTACCCCCTTGGATGTTTTACCCTTTTATTGATTTTATAAATCAATCATGGTCAATATAATTTGGCTTTTTTGACAAAAAAATTACAAAACACCTCTTTAATGTCAAAGTGAAAACAGGTTTCTACAAAGTAATGTCAATTAAACAATATGTAATGGGAAATAAGAGACTGCATAAATATTCATCCCCTTGGCTGCAATCACAGTATTCGGTCTGTGTGGATAGGAGTGAATACTTTTTATAAGCACTGTACATATTCAACAGTGGCTGAACAAGATGCAGAGTGCAAAAACAGGCTTATCAGGAATAAATAATGGTGTTCAATAAAGGGATTCTGCTGTCAAGAAATAACAAGCTGCATCAGCTTGATGTCTTTTTAGACAAAAACAGTGCTCTAAGTGGTAGGAAGACTAGGCCATTCACCTCTTCCTACTTCATTTAAGCACCCACGTGTCATCCCCAGAAGGGTGCCAGAGGATTTCAAGGGAGGCACAGTGCGAGGAAAAAATAAACCAGAAAAAATAATTGTAAGCCTCAAACCTCAGCTCAGCTATGTGTGGGGTCAAATACATAGGTAGTACCGTCAGTGAGAGAAGAGACAGCATCTGGGGCTAGGAGAAAACAGAATAACTATGTCGATGATTATTTAAAGCAAGGATTTTCATGGCCTGGCCCTCATGATGCTCCTCCATGATACCACAGTGTGGTATTTGCAAAGTGATGGTAGCTAATGACAGAAAGAGACCATGTAAACAAGTTAACACTCTCCCATGGTGTGACAAATTCAGAACACTTATTTCTAATTTACCTGGACTTTAAGGATCTGTAGAATCCCTGTTAGCACTGTAACATTGCCCACTTGCAAAGCAGTCAATATTTACTAGCAGCTACACAATGTGCCAACATTGGCAATACAGCTGTAAAGATATTTTAACGTTAGCCATCCTTACTCGCTTATTAGAAGAGTTGGATCTCCATGACTGACAGTGTTGTGGTAAGAACAGAGACACGGAGAGGAGGAGCTGTTCACTGACAGTTTGTTGCAAGTGTGTATGTGAGAGAGCAAGACCTGGAGCAGCTGAGTGAATCAAAGCACTGTGCGCAGTTCTGTGATGAAATAAAAATTTAACAGAGTGATGAAAAAGACCGTCAAGAGCAAAGGGAAATTGCCTTCTAGTTAATTGATCATGGATGCCATCGTTCTCTCGGACAGATATAGCCAAATATACTTAGGTGGTCATTAATATTCCTGGGTTGCCTGCCCAAGTGAAGTTAATGTATGGGAAATGGTGTATTTCATATTCAATATTATCCAGTATTCAAGTATTGTGGAATAAAGTCTGAATACATCTGCACACCCTAGGACTGGAGAAAGAAAATAATAAAGCCACTGATGCACTAGCCAAAGGAGGGGAACTACATAAAACCCTATATGAATTCAAACCACAAAACCCTATCTGATTTTGCTGATGGCGATCAACATCACCAACCAAAGTGGGGGAATGTAGGACTGGACATGGGATAATGGCCACGTGCCAGACAGACTATGGCAATTCTGACAGGATTTACATTCCATTTTATGGGTCCCTTTTGTTGTACGTCCTCCTCCTGTTTGTCTCAAGTGCCTATTTTGAACTTAATTTACATACATTGACAATATTGTAAAAGGTACAATATGCATGCATGTTCAACAATGTATTTGAGGCCCCTAAAACCTATTGCATCCATTTAAACTGTGCATCAATAAGAGTTTTAAAAAATGACAATTTGTGGTTTCAGGGGGGGTCAGTGCAAGGACAATTTCCAACATACAGGTAATTCTTCCTATGTGGCAACTGTGCCAACATCATCTTTCTAACACAATCAACATCTTTGGTAGAATGTGCTGTACCCTACAGAAAGGATGGGTTTCAGTGTCACTGAGTTGGTAGTATACTGAAATTGTCTAAATTTGAACCTAAGGTGACAGAGGGAAAGTAAAAAATTACCAAGTAAATTCTGATCATAGTATTTCATTTCTGTAAATTAGAATGCCATTACCATTCAAATTTCAGTACAGCATGCTAATGAAAAGACAATGGATAAGAGATACAAAGAGAAGTCTAGCATGACTTGCTTACTCTGACTGCTCTCCATCATCTGGCAGTATATTGCGGGTGCACTGCAACAGATAGTTTCTGAGAAAGAGGCCCCTGAGTGGGTGCTGGACACCACGACACATCTCAACCAGGTCCTTCAGAATGTCCTTGCGAGACTGGGGGAATGAGCGAACATACACCACGCCCACTGTGATTAGCAGATAGCTGTGGAGAGATAGGAAAAAGAGGCTTGATTTGGCAAGACATTCACATTTGCCTAAACAGTAGTATAAACCAAAAGCAAACATTTGTGTGATGTCTGACATTTATTCTTGAGAGAGAGCAAAGTGAACTTAAATGGAGTGCAGCTAACATAATAGATAATTACTTGAAACTTAAGTATTATCATAAAAATGTACTTGAAGTATTAAAAGTAGAAGTAGGCTAGGGCTGCTACTTTTCATTTGAATTTAGAACATTCATTTGAATGGGATAAAAAAAAAAAATTGAACTGTTTGAATCCATAAATGCATGCTACGTCAATAAGCACAACAGACTATGTAATTTGCCTTGTGGGCCAGCAGAAGATGTGAAATTCATACATCAGCTTGACCAGTTACAGTCCTATTGACCTCTCAGTAAAGTAAACTAGCATTATGTTGCATTACATTTGCAAGGACAAAATACAGGATAGTAGCAAGCAAATGAATCTGAAACTTTAGGCTTATCAAAATCAACTGTTCGGAACATAATTAAAGCCACAATAACTAAGATACAATCATTCATGTCAGATCCAGTGTGCTTGAGTACTGATAAAAAAAATATGTCACTGTCAAAACAGATCACAATGTCTTTTGGCATTTAAAAGCTTTTACATTTTAAAATGTGAGTTACAATAATTTATTAACTTATATTTGAAAGAAAAAAGTTCCAATTCAAAATAGCACTATTTGAAGCCATTTTATGCTTGATGGAAATTTAGAGATACTCACAGTCTTGGGATGATATTCCCTGCATACTGCACCAGCTCATAGAGATCTGCCACCTTGCGACCCTTGGCAAACTCATCAGTCAGATAAACCTCCAGGTAGTGGAGTTCATCAGAGATGGCCATATCTGAAATGACTGTTAGGGACCAGTGCAAACCTGAATTATCCACATGCAACAATAATTGCTTGCAGCATGTCAATGCTACAGCAGTTGCCTCCTTGATTTGAAGGGATGTCTTTAATAAAAACCTTTAGTCATTTACCTTTTAATAATACACTTACAACTTTAAAAGATACAGAGCTCATAGTAGCTTTTTGGAGAGAGCATAGAGGTCCTCAGTTCACCCAGCATGTTGGAAGCATGCTTCAGAGCATCCATCAGCTTGTTTTTGTCCTACACAGCAGACAAAATAGAATTGAGCTATGAACATACCCATACAAAAAGTCATCACAACTGAAATATTTCACTATTTCAAGAAAATATTGTATACAAGTTATATCATATTAATAAGTTAAGAATGTTTTACATATAATGCAAACTTTTAGTGAGTGAGGGTAAAATTGAGCATGAGACTGACAGGGGCACTGGGGCAGCATCAGCAGTAATGTGCACGATGTACCAGACTATCGTGGTGAAGAAGGAGCTGAACCAAAAGGCAAAGCTCTCAATTTACCAGTCAATCTACATTCCAACTCTCAGCTATGGTCACGAGCTGTTGGTAGTGACAAAAAGAACAAGATTGTGAGTACAAGCAGCCGAAATTAGCTTCCTTTGCAAGGTGGCTGGACTTAGCCTTAGAGATAGGGTGTGGAATTCAGACATCCAAGTAGAAGTGCTGCTCCTTCCCATCAAAAGGAACCAGTTCTTGTGGTTTGGGCATCTTACCAAGATGCCTCCAGGGCACCTCCCTTTGGAGGTTTTCCGGGCATGTCCAACTGGTAGGAGACCCTGGGGTAGACCCAGAACATGCTGGAGAGATTATATACTGCATCTCATCTGGACTGGGAATGCCTCAAAATCCTGCCAGAGCTAGAAAATGTTGCCAGGGATAGGGACATCTGGACTACCTTGCTGAACCTGTTGCCATGGCGACACGATCTCGAACAAAATTGATGAATGGACATCTGACTGTAGTACTTCATCCTTAAAGGAATCAACTTAGGTAGATATTTTTCAATGTTGGACATTTGGATAAATCCCAAAAATATGGAGCATGTGATTTACATGCTGTGCTGTGACCGGAGAGAAGTCTTCCGATGTCACCAGTGTGCTACACACAAGGAAGCTGTTCATTTTCTGATGTACACTTGCACAGTTTGTTTCCCCAATTATACAATAGCCTTGACCATCTTTTTAACATTGTCGTAAGTGCTGTTGAAACAGTTTTAACACAACAATGATGCCCGTTTAGTCAAGGCTGATAGATATTGTGGTCCTGTATCCACATCAGAAAGTGATCACTACTCATCTTCTGCAAAAAAGTAGTAGAAAACGGTTGTGTCTATAGCTGCATTTACATGGACCCTAATATTCCACTAATAATCAGAATAAATAGCTCAATCAAACTAAAAATGCATCCTATAAACACATCAATTGGAACAGACTAGACGAAACAGCAGAGGGTACACAGCCCTGTAGTGATGGTCCTTGATGTTTGACTGACCACCGTGACTATCGGCAGCAGCTGAGTCAAGAAGTTGAAGACCCACTTGCAGGTGCCCGTGTCCACCTCCAATCGCCTCAGCTTTTGCGGAATGATTGTACTAAAAGCCAAGCTGAAGTCAATGAAAAGGATCCAGGTATAGGTGTCCTGTGGGTGAGACAGTGTGAGGTGGAGTGTAGTGGAGATAGAAGTTTCTGTGGATTGATTAAGTTTTATATGCAAACTGTATGGGGTCCAAGTTTGCAGGGAGGTCTTAATGTGCTGCATGATCAGCTGCTCAAGCACTTCATTAGGATCAGCATAAGGGCCTTTGGTTTTTTTAGAACAGGAGTAATGGTGGGACTTTGAGTCAGGTGGGCACTATTGCCTCAGCAAACAAGATATTAATCTCTATTAAAACATCCTTCAATTGCTGCACAGTCCTTTAACACATGCCCAGGGATTTTGTCTGGCTCTGCAGCTTTGCATGGGTTGATGCTAGCAAAGGTCTTTTTTTATTCCAGTTGTTGACAGCTAGAGTACCTGGTCTATGGATGATGGTAAAAGCATCTGTACCTGAGTGGTGTTACTGACCTCAAAGTGTGCATAAAAGTAATTTTGTTTATCTGGTTTTGAATACAAATTGACAAATCCAAATTACTATAGCTACAGAACCCATCTGTGACACCAAGAATCAAAATTGAATCAAATCAAATCAAATCAAATCGTGAGTGTGCCAAAGATTCTCACCCCTACTACAGAAACACCTTGAACAAGGGAAAACTACGGTCCAAATCTCCGGCAAATAGTACACAGTGAGGGAATTACTGGCTACACATAAAATGCATGTGTATGTGTAATGTACCCAGCCTGTGGTAAAGCACATCAAATGCAAACTACACAGACTTCAAAAAGAAATGTGCTCAGTAGGACTAATTGTAACAGACTTTATTCTGTTTCTATAAACTGTTGCAGCTGTTTATATTTGGAGAAATAAAAATATTGCACTTCATTTTTAGTTGGAAGTTTGTAAAAAACTGACAGAAGAAAAATGTAAAGCTTTAATACGTTTTATTTTCATTACCTCTGCAGAGGTCATGTGTTTGGTTTTGTGCATGTATTGGGTAGCAGGATTATGGACTATCAGCATACTTTGTGTAGACATTGGTGGAGACCAACCCTAGAATTGATTAGATTATGGCTGAAAAAGGTCAAAGTCACAAAAAATTATGAAAAAAAAAAAAGTGCAGCCAAACCACTAGATGGATCATCAGCATACTTGCTATAAATGTTGCTGGGGACGAACTTTAGAAATGATTAGATTTTGGCTGAAAAAGATCACAGGTCAAGGTCACAAAAATAATGAAAAAAAAAAAAAAGTTAATTGTTTCAGAATGATCAAACCAGAGCCTCCTCCTGTTGCCGTTGTTTTGTTGATCTCAGAAACAGACTTCAGTTTACCCTAACCACAACCACTGAGGGGGTCGCTACATAAAACCAAGGTTTAACCAGGGGGGAAACATCTCGTCAGGGGAACACTTTGACACAAAAACTGTCATGAAACCAGGACAAAGCATAAACAAAAACCACTGACAAATAAGATGCTTTCGACAGTGACAATACCCTCAAATCCTACCTGCCATATTTGAGCCAAAATATGAAAGTGGACAGCATGACAAACCACATCAGCATTAATTTAAATGTCTCCTCCATAGGTAGGTAAACAATGGTACATGTACCGATGAAAACGGATGTGTAACACTAAAAGACGGTAATGGAGAAGCCCCATATTTTAATTGGCATTATGCAGACATAGGCTGCGTCCAAAACCGCCTACTACATACTGTATAGTAGGCGAAAAGCAGTAGGCGAGGCGAGTAGTATGTCCGGATTCGTAGTATTCCAAAAACAGTAGGCGAAAAGTACCCGGATGACCTACTGCTTCCGGTTGGATTTTGCAGTGTGCATACGATGGACACTTCACTATCCCATGATGCCCCGGGAGAGGAGTTATCCAACGAAGAAGACGCTGCTATGAAAACGTATGTCACGTGATGTATCAACATGGCGGATGTAGTACGTCCGAATCTCATTCATACTACCAGGCTTCATACTATACAGTACCTACTGTTTTAATGGTCAGTAAGTAGGTACTTCATCTCTTTCAGTATACAGTATGTAGTAGGCGGTTTCGGACGCAGCCATAGTAACTTCTCCAGCCTTACACCAATTCTCTCTAATGTTACAGAAAGAAGGCATTAACAGGAATGCAATGTAGGGTTTTTGTTTTTTTGTTTTTTTTTGTTTGTTTTTTTAAACTTACCGTTACATCCAACAGAGTAGTGGAGTAGTTCTGTAAATCAAACCTGTGATCGCTACGTCTTCTTCCACAAATCCCTCACATTACAGGTGAACAGGTAGTATTGCAGTTACAAAAACATCACATCTCTTAAGAATTCTCTTGCCAACCCACAAAACATCACATGCAGCAGACACACTGGCCTCCAGCAGTCAAAACAAACAGGTACTGTGCCCTGGGGGAATCCAGCTTTAATAAGCTGATCATTCACCACCCCAGGGTGCTTCACTGGCCGGCTGCTTGTAGGTTAGACCTGGTCAGGTAAAACAGCAAGTCCCTGTACAGGAATGTTCCCAGACATGCAGTAACTTCAGGCCCTGTATTTTTCCCCACATCCTCTGGTCACAGTGCAGCAGCAGGAGGGAAATTATATCCACAAAACTGGATGCAAATGAAAAATCCAGCTTTTATTATGGAACCGGTGAATGTCAGGCAAGTTTGCATGAATGCGCAGAGCCAGGAGAATATGACCATTCAAGGAAATCGTGAACTATTGCCTAAGATTTTACAAAGTTGGGAAAAAGTTCTCACCTTGTTTTTTGAGCTTTCAGTCATATTTAAGATGATCATTCATTGTTGTAACATTGCAGATATGTCAGAAAACAGAAAAGCATGCCATGGCCTTTTTAATGTATGATAAAGAAAACATACATGGTACATGGAATTGAAAATGTTCATTGTAGACATCAGCAGTTTCCCTCAGCAAAAGTTTAGGCTGGTCTACTTGTCTCAAGGAGACTCAAGGAGTATACAAAAGTATGTAAAACAGAGCTGACAACTCATAATTTAAACAACTACCACAATTTTAACAACAGTTATACTGAAGTCATCCTACCAGGCATCGCTTCATCTGGAAAGACTGGACCTTGACAGCCTGCACAGCTTCATCTAGAAGCTTTTCTTGTTCATCCTGGGGCGACTGCTGTGTGGTTGGCTATGACAGAAGGATAGAGACAACTTGTTTAAATGTTTGATCTATTAGCAATGTTTAAAATAACGCTGTAGAATAAATCAAGAGTCAAACAATATTGCACTGTAATGAAATGTCATCACTTTTGTACTGGAAATTTCTGTATTTAACAAGCATTGTTTACTAATCAGTTGACTTTTCCCCAGTGGACTGGATTATAACTAGGACTGAAACGATTCCTTGAGTAATTTGATTACTAAAAATAATCAATCCAAAATGTTTCCACTGAAGCTTCGATTAATCCATATAGTTTATACAGTGCCTTGCGAAAGTATTCGGCCCCCTTGAACTTTGCGACCTTTTGCCACATTTCAGGCTTCAAACATAAAGATATAAAACTGTAATTTTTTGGGAAGAATCAACAACAAGTGGGACACAACCATGAAGTGGAACGAAATTTATTGGATATTTCAAACGTTTTTAACAAATAAAAAACTGAAAAATTGGGCGTGCAAAATTATTCAGCCCCCTTAAGTTAATACTTTGTAGCGCCACCTTTTGCTGCGATTACAGCTGTAAGTCACTTGGGGTATGTCTCTATCAGTTTTGCACATCAAGAGACTGAAATTTTTGCCCATTCCGCCTTGCAAAACAGCTCGAGCTCAGTGAGGTTGGATAGAGAGCGTTTGTGAACAGCAGTTTTCAGTTCTTTCCACAGATTCTCGATTGGATTCAGGTCTGGACTTTGACTTGGCCATTCTAACACCTGGATATGTTTATTTGTGAACCATTCCATTGTAGATTTTGCTTTATGTTTTGGATCAGTGTCTTGTTGGAAGACAAATCTCCGTCCCAGTCTCAGGTCTTTTGCAGACTCCATCAGGTTTCCTTCCAGAATGGTCCTGCATTTGGCTCCATCCATCTTCCCATCAATTTTAACCATCTTCCCTGTCCCTGCTGAAGAAAAGCAGGCCCAAACCATGATGATGCCACCACCATGTTTGACAGTGGGGATGGTGTGTTCAGGGTGATGAGCTGTGTTGCTTTTACGCCAAACATAACGTTTTGCATTGTTGCCAAAAAGTTCGATTTTGGTTTCATCTGACCAGAGCACCTTCTTCCACATGTTTGGTGTGTCTCCCAGGTGGCTTGTGGCAAACTTTAAACGACACTTTTTATGGATATCTTTAAGAAATGGCTTTCTTCTTGCCACTCTTCCATAAAGGCCAGATTTGTGCAGTATACGACTGATTGTTGTCCTATGGACAGAGTCTCCCACCTCAGCTGTAGATCTCTGCAGTTCATCCAGAGTGATCATGGGCCTCTTGGCTGCATCTCTGATCAGTCTTCTCCTTGTATGAGCTGAAAGTTTAGAGGGACGGCCAGGTCTTGGTAGATTTGCAGTGGTCTGATACTCCTTCCATTTCAATATTATCACTTGCACAGTGCTCCTTGGGATGTTTAAAGCTTGGGAAATCTTTTTGTATCCAAATCCGGCTTTAAACTTCTCCACAACAGTATCTCGGACCTGCCTGGTGTGTTCCTTGTTCTTCATGATGCTCTCTGCGCTTTAAACGGACCTCTGAGACTATCACAGTGCAGGTGCATTTATACGGAGACTTGATTACACACAGGTGGATTCTATTTATCATCATTAGTCATTTAGGTCAACATTGGATCATTCAGAGATCCTCACTGAACTTCTGGAGAGAGTTTACTGCACTGAAAGTAAAGGGGCTGAATAATTTTGCATGCCCAATTTTTCAGTTTTTTATTTGTTAAAAAAGTTTGAAATATCCAATAAATTTCGTTCCACTTCATGGTTGTGTCCCACTTGTTGTTGATTCTTCACAAAAAATTACAGTTTTATATCTTTATGTTTGAAGCCTGAAATGTGGCAAAAGGTCGCAAAGTTCAAGGGGGCCGAATACTTTCGCAAGGCACTGTATACAGCTTTACTGTATTTCGCATGGATCACTATTACTGCTGTATAAAATGGACAAAGAGACAAAACAGAGAGGCGAAAATGACAAAGCATCCAAAGTTTGGGATCACTTCAAGCTGAGAAAAAAAAATACAACACAACACAAAAAAACTCTGTACAGTGTGTCTCTACCACAGTAGCACAATGATAATGCATGAGCATGTCAGCAGAAAGCATCCTGGCTATTCCACAGAGTGGAGCTGACAGAAGCTGGTGACATTAACGTAAATCAATATGACTGCTAGCTGAGATTAAAGCTAGCAAAGAATGCATGTTTATTATGCTATGTACCATATAATGGCAGGTTAAGATGGCATGGTGGCCAGTTATGATGTCCCCAAGTTAACTAGCTATATTTTATTCAAGAAAACGATTAGAGAAAGCAAAATGCTTTAATGATAAGGATAAAGATAAGGATAATGAGTGAATGCATTAAAGCTGCTCCAATACCATTCATGGTATTATGAATATTATGATCTTATTTCTAGGACAAATGATGTTTCAGATAACCACAACATAACTTTGATATCCAGAATAAACATTCTGGATGCAGACATCCATGAATGTATTGTGAATATCTATAAGAAACTAAATAAAATTAAATAATCATTATAAATGAAAATAATGACAATGGACAGTAGAAAAGTGAGTTCTTAGTGAAAATTCCTATTTCAGATTTCCAGAATAAACTATCTGGATACATGCGTTGTGTATCCACTATCAAAGCCTAACGAGCAGCATACTTTGCCCCACATAACCTCTCGGTTTGACATGTACCGTCCTACTTTGTTTTTCCAAACCCTTTTGTTTACTTTTTAAATAAATTCAGCTACCCAAAGTAAATCTTGAACACTGGCCTCTGAGGTCCTGACTCACTCTCTTAACCACTCCCTTACAATGCCATATAATGATGGTCAATAATACACAAATGTGCCAAAAAATAAATAAAAATCAGCGAGCATTCATAAGCCAGCTCAGTAAACAAGTTAAATTATATTTATGGTTCCATAATAAGTAACACCATTTTCCAGACCTAACCTACCATTAACACAAAGCATCCCTGAACACAACATCTGCACTGTATTTGCTCAGGTTAAGCAGTGGCTGATCCAACTGGCGTGTAGTGGCAATCACCTCTGAGAGTCGGGTCCACTCAGTTGTCCAGCCACTCACTGTTCTACCAAGACTGCCAAACAAAAGAAGAATACACCTACAGTCCCAGTGAGTCAATAACTATTACCATCAACACCATTACAACTTCTGTGTGGGTGGAGGTGTGAAGGCAAGTCTACAGGATCATCAGGTGGGCACCTCTCAATAACTGGTGTTTCATTGAGTTGGGTCCATGACACCAAGAAGGCTAGGGTTAGGGTTAAATACAGTCAAACAACAGAACTCTTAGAACTAATTCAGACCTACCAACCCCATACAATCACCAGAGCCTGGATTAAAAAGCACTTACAGGAAAACACCCTAATGAGCCAAAGTTTCTCATGTTGGTAACTTTTATACAGTGAGGAACAGAAGTATTTGAACACCCTGTGATTTTGCAAGTTCTCCCACTTAGAAATCATGGAGGGGTCTGAAATTCACATTGTAGGTGCATTCCCACTCTGAGAGACAGAATTAAAAAAAAATTCAGGAAATCACATTGTATGATTTTTAAAGAATTTATTTGTCTTGCACTGCTGAACATAAGTATTTGAACACCTGAGAAACAGCAAGAATTCTGGCTCTCAAAGACCTGTTACTGTGCCTTGAAAAAGTCCACCTCTACTCCACTCATTAATCTAAATTAGTAGCACCTGTCTGAGCTCCTTAATGGGTAGGGCTTCTATGTTCAGTAGGTAACATGTGAAGTGCACTCCCTACACCTACCAGCGGGTGTCTCTCTAACACAATATTCACAGGCTGCAGTGCTGTTCAATTATGTGTGGGTGGGAATATGGGAGATGGAGATATAAAAAAATGAAAGACTTTATTGCTTTGGGGGACACACATGCATATATGGCATACATATGTATATGCGAACTCATGCACAAGCAAAGACACTCAAAGGATGGGGGCAGCAAGAGAAGCAGCTGGGGATCCAATAAATTAGAGATGATTGAAGATTACAGTTTAATATAACAAATCTGTGGGACCTTCAGCTCAGTTCACTCAAATTAAAGGAGCACACACACAGTTTCCATAGTGATGATGAAGTGATTCAGGAGTATGCCATAAAAAATGACCATCTGTCAATACCCTTAAATTATTCTCATGATTGTTCTCATGATGAAACAACTACAGCCACCCAGCTACATTATGAAGGATCATCACAGGATTTTACTCCTCTCCACCAAATAAAAGCTTCAAGCACTACTCTAAATTCAAATCACTTTGAAAATACTAGCCCACATTTTTTATTTTTAAGGACATTATTTCCTTTTATGTCATGTTGCATTAATGCATAAATGATGAAGAACAACACTGACAAAGACTCTATTGATGGAAGAAGAGGAGAAAAGGGAGAGGAGATGTTCTCTGCTAAAGAGAGCTCAGTTAACCCGGAGTGGCCTAGCGGTCTCCAGACCTCAATCCAATAGAACATCTTTGGAGGGAGCTTAAACTCCGCGTTGCTCACCGACAGCCCCGAAACCTGACAGATCTAGCAGAGATCTGTGTAGATGAGTGGGCCAAAATCCCTGTTGCAGTGTGTGCAAACCTGGTCAAGAACTACAGGAAAGGTTTGACCTCTGTAATTGCAAACAAAGGTTTCTGTACCAAATATTAACACTGATTTTCTCAGGTGCTCAAATACTTATGTTCAGCAGTGCAAGACAAATAAATTCTTTAAAAATCATACAATGTGATTTCCTGAATTTTTTTTTTTTTTATTCTGTCTCTCAGAGTGGGAATGCACCTACAATGTAAATTTCAGACCCCTCCATGATTTCTAAGTGCGAGAACTTGCAAAATCACAGGGTGTTCAAATACTTCTGTTCCTCACTGTATATGAAGATCTAATCAGATCTCTCAGTAAAAGGAGTGTGAGAAA